TATGTTAGCACCAAAAGCTTGCACAGCGAGAAAACAAATTCATTTATTTAAATTTATGGTAAGAAAACAATACCACAAGATCTAGCATCTTAATACTTTTTGAAAATTATGCAATGTATTATTGCAAACTCTGAGCACAAAGTTTTAAGACAGAGCTCTAAAATTTTTCATCTTTCATACCTGCATCTTTATATTCATTGAACAGCAACCAGCATTTTCTTGTTCCCTCAGCCCAAGTTTGTTCTGCTTCCGTAGTGTTAACCATTTCAGAGACTCCTTAGAGGGAAATCTGAAATCATTTCACAATAACTTGTCTGGAGATTTGTACAGTACCTTGTGAAGCCCATATGGAAGAAAAGAATGTGCTGAACTCCTATTAAATTTGTCATTAGTTGTTAATAGTTTGGTATGACATGGTCTGTACTAAATCTGCTTTAACAAAAAGGGAATATTTGAGATTCTTTAAATAAAATGTAAAACAACTATTTTGAACTTATGGACATCATAATATGAGTCAAACAATAGTATTTAGATTCTAAGTTTTGCATTTTCTGTGCCTTATTTTATCAACCAAAATAATATTGAAAATTTCTGAGCCCTACTTTCTCTGAAAAGTATACATTGTTACATTATTTTAAAGTAATTAAATTAAATATAGTGCCTTATAAATGTAAATAATAAATCAATAAACTGGAACTCGTTTATGTTTATCAGGAATAAAAGGTGAATTCCAAAAATAATGTATTTCTACTTCACAGATTCTGGGCTCTCTATAAATAATACAAAGTAATGTAAAAACTATTCTATGATTAAAATCATGTTTTGACATGCCTTATGAGCCTTTTTATGTTTTTTGATAACACACTTTCAAAATTATTGGCAGATCTCGTCTTTGTCTGTACTTTTAGCTGGATAATGGAAAATGATTTACACAGTTTTATTGAATTTACCAGGGTTGGAGTAAGCTACATTAATTATTGCCAGTGTCATTCTTGCGGGCTGGCAGGAACTGAGACAAACCATAAGCCAAACTAAATGTGATTAGCATTAAAATGATTCAAGCATGAGAAATAATGGAATGGGTTCTGAAAAGATCCTACCTGTTTGAAAACATTTGTTTGAATTGTTTTTCCCTCATCATCTAAAGTACCAAAGGTTTTTAAATGTCCCTATCATATTTCCCAAATAACATTTTGATTTTTGACATTGCAACCATAAATAATCTGACTTTTTAGAGTAGGTAATTTTAAATTTTGTTTGTTAAAAAACAAACAAACGAACAAACAAACACACCTCAGAGAATGACCACCAGGTGCCTAGCTCCTTGAAAAGTAATCACTTTTCTTTCCAAATGTGAATTACTCAGTGATACCAAGTTTTCTGATCGATGCATTCTCTTTAGAGTACAGATTCTGTCTTCTGAATTCCGTGAACTTGGGTTGAATATGATACAGACTTACCCAGGACAGACAGATTTTCACTTAGGAATTCTTTGAAAATCCTTCCTGTCAGTCCTGAGAGAAGCTGTAGTAAGTATGGTTGCTCTCTGCAAATTGACCAAACTCAGATCAATGAGTAAAAATCAAACAAAACAGAAAAGAATAGACCCAATAAAAACAAAACAATGAATGCAATATAAGACTTCAAAACAAGATAATGGTATATTCAAAATGGCTACCATAATATACTTTGTTATGTTTGAAATAGCTGCCCATCCCATCAGATATAATAAAATCAAACAAGAAAAAAGAGAATAAAACCCAACCAAATGAAACAATGAGAATGAGATAATAGGTAATTAATGATGGCTACCCCTTCAGAAGGAGATTCCCTATTGAAGCTACATTGCATAGTGTTGTCCTCTGAATAGATGATCAGACTACTGGCTTTAGACCTGCAAAGTCAGTGAAACACTAACCGCTACAAGCATTAAAATGTAAAATCAACAGCTATCATCACAGCCTGTTTCTCCAGACCAGCTGATCACTTACTGGGCACAGAGGGACACCTAGCTCTTCTTGTATCACAGCCCACCTGGGTCTCTCCCAGCAGCCTGCACATGACACCAACTCACCTGGTGGGCTTGGCTTCCTGTTGGCTTCTTGTTCTCCACCCCTGCAGTCCACAAATGATACCAGCTCATGAGAAAGGGCATCTAGCTCTTTTCCATGCTTGACACCAGCTTGTTCAATTATGGCAAGTTTGAGGCCAGCCAGTATTTCATACTGAAACCAGTCTCAAAACTAACTAAATAAATGAATAAATAAATACTTCTTCACCTTACCTCTTGATTTAAAAAAGAAAAATTGTGAAACTCAGCATATTTGAGCTCCGTGAGTTCCTCCACGGTGGGACGTCTGGGTGTATAGCCTCATCCTGCTTGACCTCCAGTGTCCTCCTGCTCTGAGGTCTGGGTCAGCTGGTGGCCCCAAGCCAAGCTCTATGTGAGACATTTGCCTTGCATACTCATCTCCACATATGTCAAGTGAATCTCCCCAGGCCAGCTTCTCTGTGACTTTTATCAACTCTGGAAAATACTAAGAAAGTGTGTCTGCCTCTGTAATATTCCAGTCAAATAATTATCTTTCCATTGTTTTAAAAGATAATTATTCTGTGTGAAATTAGAGTCTTCAATCAGTATTCTAATGAGTGGGTTTTTAGTGATCTTGAAATGAAAAATTCTTTTTCTTCCTGCTTATGTCTTTCTCATTTATAACTGCACTTTGACACACATGGTAAGTCTAAATATTCAAGCTCTAATTCTGTGTCCTGCATCAGTTCTCCAGTAAACACAGATACCTATCCATAGAATGTAGCTAAGTTTATTATAATGCATTTTAGGATTGTGTGGGCTTCATTTCCCATCATAGTATTAAAAGTTAAATAATGGACTTAGCTTATACATTAGGAGAGCTGCCAGACAGCAGCTCTCCTAATTTTTTCATATATCAAAATAGTTTATTTGTTCTGTTTCTGAGGCAGGGTTTCACTGCATAGTTCAGGCCATCCTTGAACTAATTATGTAGTCCAGACTGGCCTTTAACTTTGGCAATCCTCCTGCCTTAGCTTTCTTTCTTTCTTTTTTTTTTTTTTTCTGTCTTTTTAAGACGGTGTCACCATGCAGTTCTGGCTGGACTGGAACTCACTTAGTAGCCCAGTCTGGTCTCAAATTTGGAACAATCCAGCTGACTCAGCCTCCCCAGTGCTGGGATTACAAGCATGTGCACTACACCCTGCTCAAAATAATTTAAATTAATGCTTACATTTTACATATTATCTTTTTATTACAATTAAGTGTTGTATATTAAAATGTAATGAAATTTATATAGAATATTAAAACTATAAACCGTGTTTTAGATACTTGCTCATATATCACGAGGTTTAGATTGTGCATTTCTCCTATGTTGTAGACAGTATATGTACAGCGTGTCACAATTCTATAAGGGGTAAGATATTACTTATACTCTTAATCAATTTACATTTGACAAGGACCTTAAACCATGGGTCAAAGTTGGTCAAATTGTAAAATAATAAATAAGTCATGCAACAAATTCTAGATGGAAGAAGCTCCTTGAATATCTTTGATTAACTGTATGGCTTTGTGGATACTCACAGCAATCTTGGGTATGAGCTGTTACTCTACACAATTCACAGATGAAAAGACTGAGGCCACAGAAGGACTTATCCAAGATCACGTGACTATATATATATATATAGAGAGAGAGAGAGAGAGAGAAAGAGAGAGAGAGAGAGAGAGAGAGAGAGAGAGAGAGAGAGAGTCAGGGTTCTGTACAGAAACCAAAGGAATAGCTTCTTATGCAAGATTTGGAACTCTGGTAGTGATTCACAGTGTTACAGACATATGAGAGGGAACCTGTTAGGGACTTGGGCTCATGTGATTGCAGCTGCTGAAGAGTCCCAGGAAGGTAGGGAGTTACTGGTAGCCTGGCTCAGTCCAAGTCAGAAGGCCTCAGAACCAGGAAGGCGGTTTAAGGCTGGAAGCCTGGGAACCTTGAGGAGAAGGAGCTCAAAGTTCAAAGGCTGCTCATCCCAGATTTCTGTTTACCAAGTCATCAAGTAGAGATCTATGGCAGGAAAAACAAATACACATTTTATGTGGTATTCTCTGGGCCACTGGCCATTTGGGTATATAGTCCACAACATGGACAGATTCCCCCACAGGTGAGACCCATACACTAACCTCTGAAATCACTCTTGCAGTCACACCCGATATATTACTTTTCCAGTTTCCTAGGTATTTCATAATCCAGTCAAATCTAGACCTAGCACTAATTATCACAAGGAGTGATTGCTCCAATGTTGAACACCAAGCAGTATGGCCTGCTGACCTCTGTGCTGCTCTTCTGTGTTGAACAGGAAAGCTGGAAAACCTCTCCCATCAGAAGTAACGGTTTCTAGGGAAATTTTCACATTGAAAGGAAAGCAAGAATAACACTTTGAGCAATGAAATGAACAAGGTTGACAGAGATAGTTAGAAGGAATCATGGGCCCATGTGCATTTAGGTAGGAAAGCACAACATAAATTCAAGAGGTCATAAACAGCACAGTTAGGGCAGAATTTTAGTCATCTGACACACAGGTGACTGTGTTCCAGGTATTTGGCTGGATATTATTTGATGCATTATATCATTGCCTCCATTACAACAGAATTTGACTCTAAACTCTTTCTATTCAGCATGTCCTGATGGCAGATGCGTGTGTTCATTTATATCTGTTTGTTTTGTCTGCCTGTCGCTAACCCTGTAATGATTTTTCTCATTGGACCAATTCATTCACTGGAGCTATCATCATGTCAAGAATTTACTTGCTATTGGAGGACATTTTAAAAACATGAATGTGCATATACATTCATAAATATGTCTATACATTTTTAAATGTGGACACTAATGCAAACTTCTCCTAAACTTATTCTATATAAATGTGAATTCAAAGAGCAGTACATTCTGATCTTATTTTATGGCAATGTGTTTTCTTTTCAGGCAAACCAGTGATGATAGTGACAGAGTACATGGAGAATGGCTCTTTAGATACATTTTTAAAGGTGAGAGTTGAAAATAGTTTAGTTTTTCAGAATATTGTGTACCTATTGATCATAATATTGAGGTTAAATCGGATCAATGTTAAAGCCATATTTTTAAATAGGATAGATCATATTACAGTAAAAAAATTGTATTCCAAAATTCACTGTGGTTTGTAGTGTCCAAAAATTTAAACAAATCCAAATTACATGACCCTGTCCAGTATTTTTGTTTAGGTATATGCTAATTTGAAAAACAGAAAGTAGGAATGAAGAAAGAAAGTGAAGGGAATTAGGAAGAGAGGGAAAGGAAAATAAAGAAAGGGAAAAGAGAAGATTTACAGTAACAGTGTCCTTAAGGTCCTTGCAAACCCTTCCTGAAGGCACAGCAGTCTGCATGTGCTCATAATGGATGTGAGGACCAGACGCCAACACAGTAGTCCTGTGGCAAGAGACGACAGCCAGGACCAACAGATCTAAGTTTCAGGAAAGATTTTGTTTGTTTTTACATGCACATTCCCAAGTTTTAAGTATGGGTAACTAATACTTTTAGAAAATAGCTTCTTGGACACAATGTAGCACATCTACGTCTGATTAAACCTAGAATGGATAGCTGCTTGTGACTTCAATTTCATGATTAGTGGCGCTGATTAGAAAGAGTGATGATACGATCTGAGGATTGTTTTTAGGGGCCATGCAATAAATATGAAAGTTCCTAAGTGAGCTGAATTTCCTTTCCAGTCTGCACACTCCACTAGACTGATTCATGTTTTCAAGTTTTCCAGTCTCTAATGTCATACCACTCCTTTGTTTCTGAATAACCATCAGTCTAACATTATGAGGCCATGTGACTCCACTAAATTCAACACCTTTGACAGAAAGCACCGTCTCCTGGATTGCTAACATCTTCCTGGCCTGGCTCAGCCATCCTTTCTCCACCTGCTGCTCCTTTATCTATCTCTGGACACATCATGCGTTACCCACTGTCCAGCTAGCTTTTTTTAAATCACCGCCAAGTATCTGCACATTAACTTAGGCTGGAGTAATGAGCAGATCCCCCCATGATTCAGAGTGAAGGATTTACAATTAAAAAAGTGAATGAATAAGGCAACCAAATGAGATGTTTGACAAGGACTCTCAAAACCTTTATCCGCTGTGAATGGAAGACTATCAGCTAACGATACAGCTTTCTAATATTGTCCATTTGCCTTCAGTTAGAAATTGCATGTGGGTCTGATGGATGATAATGTTCATTTAGATACTGAAAGAAAAGCCTTTCATATTTCCTCTGGTGCTCGCTGTTGCTAGACTAAGTTCTTCTGCATTGTCCTTACAGAAGAACGATGGGCAGTTCACTGTGATTCAGCTTGTGGGCATGCTGAGAGGCATCGCAGCAGGAATGAAGTACCTCTCAGACATGGGCTATGTGCACAGAGACCTCGCCGCCAGGAACATTTTAATCAACAGTAACCTCGTGTGCAAAGTGTCTGACTTTGGACTTTCCAGGGTACTGGAAGATGATGCTGAGGCGGCCTACACCACAAGGGTAAGATCGAATAGAATGCATTTCTGATACAGAGACTGCAAGCATTTGATTTTTAAAGATTCTTTTTTCCGTACAGAATGTCAAACTCGTGACCTCACACTTGCCAGGCATATGCTGTGCTTCAGAGCTCTATCCCTGGCCTGATTTCTAAAGATTTTAGAGGAAATAATGAAAAGGGCATTCCTTTAACAAAGCCAGGAGAAGACTGACCATATGAGAGAGAAAAATAAAAAATCCAGTACTTTTAGGTATCTGCAAAAGCAAATATTACATTTTAATAAGGGAAATATTCACCATCTGAGTCTCAATATTTTAATTAAAAATATTAAAAATAGAAAGTCTGAATTCATAATGGCCACAACAATGTGAAATACAAAATATGAGGATAAAAACATAAGGACAGAATCTCCTATACTAACACGTGTAGAAGTACACATACACGTGTGAGTATCAACATATGTAGCCTTGGTTGATAATTTAAACTATCTTTATTGTACTGTCTTGAAATGTAACAGATACCAGGATCACACTTTTTAAAGATTTACACTGTGGAAGAAAGACCTATCCTTTTTTAAAATAATGAATTTACTGGAGATGTTGCAATAGCTAATTTTGTTAATAGCAGGAAAACTACATATATGGAAAACTGTTCACTAACTCAGTGCTGTAATTAGCATAAATCAACACGTTTTTCCCCCAACAAAGTGATGTTTCATGAATTGATTGGGTAAATAGCTGAAAATTTGTCCTGTAGAAAACTCCATACAACATAATATTGTACTATTTCAATTTTGAATCCCTTAAAATACACAACATTTGTATAATTATAAATATGTTGAATCTCATCAAGTTAGATTCCCTCTGTATCTAAACTCCTTTGTGAGGACTGAGATTTATCATGTCTTTCACTTCCAAGTTGGTTTCAATACAGAGGAACATTTTTGTCATCTAGGTGTCTCAAGCTGTATATCACATGCATTCTTAGTTTATTTAACATTTCAAAATTACATCTGTAGACAGTGTAAAAGTAAGTTCTTTAACTGGTTTTAAGGGGGTATTTACATTGTTTCTGTGTAATTCATAAATATTTGGGGGGGTGTACTGTGCTGAAGGTCAAGAGTAGTTAATCAAAGCAAACAAAGCTTTCAAAGGCCTGCCTACCGCATCAGAACATTAATTGATGGGGTATCTGTCCTCTTCTAGACCTCACTCTAAGTGTCACTATTTGCATTAAATGAGACTTCATTTAAGAATTCTCCTGGTATTAGAGTTCACTTGCTATACGTGGCCTAAGCAAGATTGAAGTTATAGAAAAGTCTATTGCTAGTTTGGTCCTTGGTATCTCAGTTAAGTGCAAAAAAGTAAATTTTTCAGGGACTGAGTCCGTGTGTCATCCTGTAGATTTGGATGGAGAGGCAAAGACCCCAAGCCTTTCCCAAGGCAATGTCTCTAAAATGTGCCATGGCAAACTGAAGAAAATCTCCATGGTGAGCAGATAATGGACCTCTGAGTAACATGAATGACACAGTGATCAGAGGACCACGAGAAACACAGAAGGCTGAAGTTCCATCTAATCAGACAGCCACACTTCTAAGCAGGATTTAGCTGTACTTTTTAAACGATCATAACATCCTGCATACTGAGACCTCTTGATGTGGTCTTGGCTATGAATTCTTCATTGACAAAACAAAAGTTTCAGGAAAGTCTTTTTTTTAAAGTTCCTTCAATTATTTGTTATAATTCAAATAACTGAAACAAATTCAACTCCTTCCTCTCCAAGTTTGAAACATGACATGAAACTGTAATTTCTTCACATATCTTAAAAGTTTGGTTCATGACAGCAGCTTATACGAATTAAGTTATGCTTTTCCTATAAAATACAAAGACCTTTGGTCATCTTTTTAGAAGAAACTCTCCCTCTGTCTCTGTCTCTCTAATCTATAGCTGCTTATAGATGGAATATTTATTTGTCTGCTTATGTGTTCCTGTTTTTAGACATTAAGAAGAAAAATAATATGCCCTGCCTGAAACTGGCAGATATTGTACTGTGTAAAGAAAAATTAATATTATAGCAAATTTCTCCCCCATAATCCAAGTTTGATAATTTTTAATTTGATTGAATTATACAAAGTATGCATCTTAGCCAACAGAAAGAAATGTGCCATCAAAAAAGATAAGAAAGGTCAGGGACACAGCTCAGTGCCACAGTGCCTCCTTGTTAAGTGTGAGGTTGTAAGTTCAGTTCTCAGTACCAAAAAAGAAAAAGAAAAGAAAAAAAGAAAATCAAGTTTCAAAGAAAGAATGTAGAGGAAAGGTATAACTAAGTTTTTGACATACCAGATATTTCTGCCCGTTAACTATTAAACTGCTTAGGGTTACACTTAGCAACCCAGACTTCTACTTACATTTCTATGTTTAAAAAGAAAAAAAAAAAAAAAAAAAAAAAGATTAAAAAGCATGCAGGGAACGTGAATCCCTACTCCCAGTTAGGAAACCCTGGGAGTGCACCTTATTGATTCACTTGACTGCCTGCTTGCCTCTGCTTAGAGCTGCCTTCCTGAGGACTGTAATTGAGATGTGGGTCCTGTGTGTGTTCCAGGAGTCAAACAGAATTTAAACTAGAAACATGCGGACAGCCAATTAGTAGTTAGTCTACAAGTGCTTATGGGCTGGGAGATGTGAAGAGACTGCACGCTGTCAAACACATTCACTTAAAAATGCAACATCTCTTTCTAGATCTTTTCATGAGACAGCACATTTCCCTAGATACGCTGCAAGTATGTAAGGGTTTGAAATATTCTTTTTCAATTTTAGGGAGGCAAAATTCCAATCAGATGGACTGCCCCAGAGGCCATAGCTTTCCGAAAGTTCACCTCAGCCAGCGATGTCTGGAGCTACGGCATCGTGATGTGGGAAGTGGTATCCTACGGAGAGAGACCTTACTGGGAGATGACCAACCAAGATGTGAGTACGCGGCCGCTCTGCCTCACACTACAAGGGAAGCATTTTGTCCTCTGACCAGACACTTACCTGGTTTTCATAACTAAGAAATGACAGTTTCTTGAAAACATGAAATGCTTCGCTTACTGCGTGGTGTTTTGTTATTGTTGAAGTAGGCTTTTTGCAGAAGCTGTAAATGAGTTAATACAAAGGAACTTATGGGGCAGTCACTTAAAAACTCTGTCCCGTGCCAATGAGTCATATCTGTATTATAGGATACTTCACCACTTTTTGTCTATATCATTCTCAAAGATGAAAAAGGAGCCATCAAAGAACAATCCTGAAAAAGTTTTACGATTTACATTTGATAAAGGCTTCTCTACTATGCCAAACCGAAAGGATGAACAATATTAATAGTGGATGTTCTTAGAAGATAAAAAGGCACAGTATGTGTTTCTTTAAATTCCAAATTGTAAGAAGGGTCGTATTTTGTATTTAATTTGGTGGAGGAAAACAAATTTATTTATTTCACAATAGAAAAGTAATTTCTTCTTGGAATAATAAAATCTTAATATCAAAGGAACCATGAAGTAGTCTACTACTCAAATTCCAGAGATTTATGATGTGAGGCCTGGCACACAATACATACTTTTGGATTATTGAAAACTGATAACTTTTCTTTCAAACAGCAACAATTATAAAAGTAGCTGGTGTGAACTAAGCACTATATTAAGTGTTCTAGCCTGGTAGTTCATTAGTTCTGGGTAACGCCAGTATATTGAACTATCTTAATTCAATAGTGTACTTACCTGAATCATTGACTTTTTTTTCTCCAATTATTTCTTTCATCCGTATCCTATGATAGCTCTTTCCTGTGTGTGTCTTCAGGGGTTATTAGAGAGATACCTTAGCTGAATGTCATTGAAACCGCAATCCCAAGCCTGTAATTAACCCTTATTTTTTTGATATAAAAACTCATCTGTATTTCAAGGTGTTTTCCATAATTGCAGAGCCAGCTGGATGCAAACTACGTACATTAGGAATGAAGGATCACATTTTTAAAATCTCCTCCTCTTCCTCCTCCTCTCTCTAGTCTGCATCTGGGTTTTGCAGAATTGGTCTGAATGGAGAGTTAGAAAGGAAGGAGAGCTATTTCCTAGTGTTGGTCAGTGGACACTTCTTTTCTAGGAGGGCACACATTGGAGTGCTTGCAGGGCTCCTGGTGAAATGCTCCATGAGGCCCATCTGGAGGATGCTCCCCAGCTCCTCTCCCTGTCCCTTCACACACACAACCCCCTTCACACCCATACTACCACTGCTCAGGTCCCCACCTGATATCCTGAGGGACCGCATTTGTGTAGGATGCTTCCCAGGGAAGCCTCTTTTGTAACTGCTGTCATAGGCTCCCCAACTCATCTACCTTCTCCAAGTTTTGAGATAAGAGGCCAGGATCACAGCGCTGATTTAGTCTTGAACATCTCTCCATAGCTTGTTCTCTGGTAGCAACAGGAGTCACCTGAAACCCCTCCACTTGGTGACCTTGGAGCCCATCTTGGGTGGAGAAGGGAAGTGGTCATCTGTGTCTCTGCTGTTCCCAGGAGCAGTACCTGCTGTCTTCAGCTGATGTTGGTGTTAGGGCAGGATTTTACTTTACCCAAGGATCTTCCAGAGCTGGGCATGGGCACTCTGGCTAGGCTGAGATTGGAAGAGCTCAAATTGAAGGTCAACCTGAGTAATTTACTGAGTTAGCAAAACCCTCTCGAAATTTAAAAATAAGTAAATAAAGGGCTGGGGAGGGAGCTCAGTTAGACGAGCTTCAGTTCAATCCCCATTACTGAAAAAAAAAATCATTCAATCCCTGTTATATAAATGCATCTTTTGGGGACCTGGTCAAGATCCCCAATCTTCCAAATGAGTGTATGGCTTAGACAAATAAATGAGATCAGTGGTATGATTTTAGGGCTCCAGGACGATCAAAACACTCTAGCGTAGTTCGAGACTCTGGGAGCTGAGATAAAATCTTCTCTGTGTGGCCCATATTTATTAAGGTATTCAAAAAATGAGATGGGATACTGAGGAAAGGCCAGGATCTGAGAAGGACCTGGAGGGTCACCTTAATGGCTTCTCCAAGTGGTATTCTATGACAATTTCACAGAACTATCTTATCTCCAAGATAGCAATTGTGGTAGGAAATAGACAGCAGGAGTGAGTGGCTGAGTATCATGTTAATCGGGTTGCAGCCAGGTGTCCTCACTGTGGCCTTACCTTGCACTTTGGGACAGGGCTTTGTTCTCTGGTTGGCCATGCCCTGGCCATGCCGCAGCCCTGCACATGTGTACAATTTCCAGCTTCAAAGGCTCCCAACATGCATCAATGTATGTATAGTTACTTGGAGATAGTATATGTGTATAGTTATATTCATGTGTATATAACTATATGCATTCATATATCCATATATATATTAACTTTGTATTTAAATAACCCTGTAGAGAAGTGATGTTAAGTTACTCTTGTCTTACAGTGAAGAAGCTGAGTCTTAGAAAAGTTAAATGGCACACATGGTGGTCTATCCCTCTAATCCCAGCACTTGGGAGGCAGACTCAGGAGGATCACCATGAATTCAAGGCTAGCCTGGCTTTCATAGTGAATTCAATGCCAGACTGAACTGCATAGCAAAACTCTGTAGCAAAAGAAAAATAAAACAAGTTAAACCTAAATGACTTTATTAAGGTCTCAAAAATAATACAAGTTATTCCAAAAATTTTAACTTAGTTCACCAACTTTTTTTTTTTTTTTAATCTAACCACTACACTGTCTCCTAATTGTATGAAATACGAAATTCAGTATATAATGACTATTTTGGATTTGATCTGGCTAGGACTAAGATCGATCTACTCCTCTCTTTTCTGATCAATGCCAAACAATTACAAGTAATACAGGCTACTACATAATTTGGCTTCTAAGGTCACTTGAAGGTCATTTCAATGTCATTATCCTATTCAATTTTCATGGCAAGTTTTACTTTTTTTTTTTATTGAACCTAATGCCTTTGTACTGAACTATATACGCAGCCATTTTATTTTATTTTATTTTATTTTATTTTAAGTTTTATAATTTTCACATAGAGTCTCACTAAATTGCTAAGCTGTCCAAGATGGGCTTAAACTTTCAATCCTCCTGCCTCAGCCTTCAAGAGTACTGGGATTAGAGGAGTGTGCCCCCATCCCTTAACTGCCTCACTAATTCCCACTCACCCTTGACATATTTTGAGTTCTGCTTCTGTCATTTAGAATCGTATGACTTTGTGGATTGTGTAGCAATCATCCCATTACCCACAGTCATCCCGGATATAATTTGTATCTGTAGCAGATAAAGTACATATTAAAACAGCACAGGGCCAGGCAAGTGTCCCTGAGCTCTGGTGACTGCTCAGCAACCTGTAGCTTCCCTGATGTCTCTACACCCTCTGTAATAATTCTGTTCTTTCCTCTTTAGTTTTTAATTTCATTTATTTAATGCTTAGTAGCGTTTTTGACATGGTAGTACCATCCATTATTGCTCTCATAAGTGCTATATTTATTATTATTTCTTTTTTTCTAAAAGTTTTTTCTGACTTCATCCATTTTAGTGTGTTGATAACTTTAATTTCTAAAGAACTAAATAACTTTATTTTAATTTGTTAGTAAAACGCAACAGAATGCTGATTTAATACAGTGAGGGGGGAGAAAGTAGTATCATTACCAGATTTGACTAGGTTTTCCAAGGACATAGATGAAGTTTATGCAAAATGAGTATATAATTACAGATCTCTCTGTAATGTTTTCTTTTACTTAGCATCCCTTTAATGCAGTGCACAGTGTGAAAAACACATGCTTTCTTATTTTTTCACCATGCTCACAGTCAGTGGCTTTTAATTTTTAGGTACAGCCTTAAGTGTGATTGTCCCCAAATTTACTGAATTATTTTATCCATACATGACAGATCAATGATACTTGAAGAGCAAGATCACGGACTATTTCTGTGGAAAAAAATTCTCAGAGATTAAAAGTGAAGTATTGATTGTCAGTTCCAAATGTATAAGTACATATATTTATACATTAACCAATAAGATCTATAATCTGGATATGACCTGATTCTAAAATACTTTTGATCACTTCACACTGTATGATCTAAATCTATGAGAGATCATTCTATTTGGCAGGCCAACAGAATAAAGCAGTAGGTTTCTTTTGGTTTAGGATTTGTGCTGCTGTCATAGACATAAAATGGAACAATGCACAATGAAAATAAACTAGAATGATTAAGGTAAGCTTAGGTAAATACCAGATAATGGACTGTGATTCAGTTTCAAGAAACTAAAATGATAGACTGTCGTGAGGAAAAAACTATTGATTGAAACAAATATTTTGAATGTCAACATTTTTTGTAATAAAAAATAATAAGTACTTTATTGTATATTTGTATGTACTGGTGATATTTTCTCTTGTATTTACTGAATAATGTATAAATACATATATTTTAATAAGCAAATACATTCTAAAACATCTTTAATCTCAATTATATAATATTTTTCAATATTTTCATGTTAGAATTATTTTTCTCATTTCCAAATAATAGTTTTCTGTACTTTCTTTTTCCCTGTAAATTATAATGTAGTAGTTTCTTTACTACTTTTTTTGGACTAAAACTTTCCTATAAAGCAGCAAAAACATTTCACTCCAAAAGACAGGAACTTACTCTGTAGGAGTATAGCTCTATTTCTCTTTTTATACTTTGTTTTAATTTCCAATGTAAAAGATATACATATATTATATATATATATATAATATATAACTATTCATATATGTAGCATTCACCTACAATAAATAATATATATTGTATAATTAGAATATTCTGTCTTATGACAGAATGTTGTTATTAACAAAAGTAGAAGTATAAAAAATTTAGTTCTCATGAAAATGACTTATTTGACAACAAATTATTCTGTGTCCTTGCCTCTGTGCAATGATGTCTAAAATGAGCTTATGGGATCAAAGGATATTATGTTTCAAACATAATATGAGTCACCTTCTAAAGGCAGTGCTGCCTCTGGATGCTACTAATTATTTTTTAATCTGGTAGCATCATAATTTTCATCACTTTTGAAAAGTGATAGAGAAAGAAACATAAATGCCTCAGTCCAAAATTTCTGTCCTTTTCTGTTGAATAACAGCAGCAACAAGCAAAAAAGAAACATTGGATTCCTATAAAAAACAGATTTTAAAACTTTTGCTCAGGTTCAGTGAATTTAAAGGGAGAGGATTTGAATATGTGATTTCTTATATGTATTTAATCTCTGGAATCTATTGATCTAAGGTTGAAATACTAAGAAAAAGACATACTCAATGTATTTTAATAACTTTGAAAACAAACAAGAAATCCTAATATATAACTGATATATCTGAAACTATTGGTGTGGTATCTGAAGTTATTTCATGAAAGATATTCATAAAATTTGGTTGTTTCTGTGAAGCTTCATATTTCATAGTAACGGCTCTGATATATGATATGGTAAGCAAATAAATAGCAACATCGGTACTCAAACCCACGACAGAACTTAGTTCATCAAACCACACAGATGACACATTGTTTTTTGTGTAATTTTCCTGACACTTAGTGATCAACTCTACTTTTGTGATAAAGAATACACTATACTCCAAAATATCTATTCCAAAATAGGTCGTTTACCCCAGATAGGCAGATAGATGGATAGATAGTTAGATAGATAGATAGATAGATAGATAGATAGATAGATAGATAGATAGATTGATAGATAGATAGAATAAAGTTTATTCAAAATTATATGTATGTATATAATATATAAGGTTGAAAAGATGTATAATTCTAAGAGGTAAAGTTCTTGCCCCTGTTAAGTTGCTGTCTTGGAAAGGGGTAATTAATTCTAAATACACTGGTATGACTTAGCACCAGAATAGAAAGAACACAGGTGTGCATGTCAAAAGCTGTGAATGTAAATTTTACCTCACTCTGTCTTTTTAACTGTTTAGACAAGAGAGGAAGATTAATCTGGAATCACAATCATTTATCTGTAAATTATATATATATATATATATATATATATATGAATTATATATTATATATTGTATATGTATTTTTTTTGCAGACTTGTATTTGGGGTAAATGTAGACAATTTATATAGTTTCTATTATAATGCCTGTGATATAATACATAGGGTACTTTAAGTCATCCAAGAGAAAATTAGACAAAAGTATTTTTAATGAAAATGCATGCAAGAGAAATCATGGGAGGACTGACAGGAAGCTGGGAGAGATGTCAGATGTATCATGAGTCGACTCCCAAGTACAGGAGGAGAGTCCGCGGGAAGGTAATCAAGTGTGAGCATCTCTCGGACATTGTTAAGAGTCTGGAACTTCTAAGGTGACCTCAGCACATCACTGGCTGTCTCAGTGCTTCGCCCTTCACGAGACTGAGTGCTTCTCCCCAGCAGTGCCACATGCAATGATGGCCTGGGAGCCGCATGTGCAGGGGCGACTTTGCTGCATGTAATGGGAGCAAGTAGCAGTGCAACAGGCATCAATCTTACTCCGTCACTGTCTTTGCAGGTGAAGACCGAAGAGTCCCATTTTCATGGTTGGCATAGTGTACCTTTTGCAACACAGCCCTACTTCTCCATTCAGGACCTGAGCACATCACTTCATGGTCCTGGGGAGAGCGAGGTGTTAAACCTTACCAGTACTTGAAGGAGTATGTGACATTCTGACCTATCCTGGCCCCATGGAAGGCCATACCCTGCTTGAGTGATATGCTAGTGGTATGGGATTCCTTGTTTGGGCTTCAAGCATTCCAAAACTCCAGGGCTGGCTGAAGTCCTAATGACAGGAAGGGAGTGATATTCAGACCTGGTGTGCAGAATTGAAAAAGATGAGCCAGTAATGCTTATGTGATGGAAGGAGCCCGTGGGAGTCAGTTTGTTACCAAATAGTATATTGAGGATTACCTGTTGGGATTAAGGACTAACTTGAGAAAAGAGACAATATTCCTTAAGCTATATTCAGAGTATTGATTTACATGTCAGTGCAGAAAACACATAGCTTATATTAATGTTCTAGATATGGTACATCTGAACTGGTATCAGATCATCTTAATTTCTGATTACCTGTTTTTTTTTTTCACTTCGTTGTTCAATTGCCTATGTTAACAATTGTAATAACTGTGATTGAGATTATGATTCATTTGATTGTGTTAATATTAAAGTAAAATAGTATTTTATTATTTCATTAAATAAAGAAGTAAACAAATAAAAAATAAATTCTAAAGCAATTTAAATTTTAAACCAGTCCAATAACTAATTGCCCAGAGGACACGTGTGATTTAACTTGGAGACAAGGTGTTTCATTTCTAAATATAAACTTATCTATAATGGAACCAATTAAGTTTAAGGGACTGGAAATAACTTTGAAGATCAAATAACTGCCCGCTTAATCCCTCTCGTTTTGTTATAGAAGGATGCCTAATCTCAGCAGTGCATGGGGGGGAGCTACCAAAATTCCAGTGACTGAGCAGTCAGGACAGAATAATTCCAGGGCACCCAGAACATCACAGCCTGTGGAGAAAGGAAAGGGACATGACTTGCACAACCCTGTGAGCCTGACCACATTTTATCCTAATAAGATCTTTTGAAAATTAACCTGAGTTAGATCAGACTTAATTTCTTCCAAAAATGGTGCCTCTATGACCTAATCTCCTCTCACTAAGTCTCACCTTGTAAAGATTCAGCATCTCTCAGGATTGTTATTTCGGGGACCAAGTTTCCAGGATGTGAATCTTTGGAAGACAAAGCATTTACAAACAATAGCACTCATTAAATTAGCTTGAGACTGAATGAGTGGTTCAGTGAATTTATTTCATAGTCACATATAGAGACTAGCATCTGAGGGAAGAGAAGACAATTTTTTGTTTTTCTCATCTATTTTTAAAGAAAGGTGCTACAGGAAAATGTACAATTACATAATAGCAGCTTTGGGATTATAGCACATTAAGTATTACATTGTGTTTCAAATACATTTTCCTTAAAGAGGCTAAATACGTCATGATTGAAACTATTTATGGTATGATAATTTATAGTGACACATATATGCAGTTAATATAATCGTATCCAGTCAGCAATGGGGATTCTTATAATAAGCAAATTAAGTAAATGAACTTACATAAACATATGGATGCAAAAGGTAATTTTCATTTCTTTAATATTTTTTATTTGATCATTGAGGGTAAATATTTTCTCAAAATTTAGGTTTTTTTTGTTTTTGTCATTTTCTTTCATATCTGTTTCTCATTTAGTTTAAAAATTGTTTTTTTCCAATTTACATGAGCTTTTATTGCATTGGATACACTATAGTTTTTGCGAATAATTTCTTCTCAGTTTTGGACTTTAATTGCTTTTATTGTTTTTTAGTTAACTAAGGTGCAGGTGACTGAGGTCATTCGCCTGTAGTTATCCAATTATTTCTTTAGCAATTTATCCCAGAGTTCTTCAGTAATTTTTATTTCCCAGCCTTTGCTTAGTGATGGGTACTTCTCAGGAAGCTTTATTATATGCTTTGCCCAAGGAGATAAAAACTACATCAATTTCAAGCTGTGACCGAGCGCTGATGACCATTTACACTATCAGTGCCAATGGTGCCGTGCTCCTGTACTCCAGCCAGACTCCTGCTAATGCCATTTGGGCAGTGCCCATCACCTAAGATGAAAGAAGCCCCAAAGTATAACTGACAACATTTCCTCACTCTATAAACTTGCTTACCGAAATTTAACAGAAACAACAATTAACTGTGATAGGCTTGAGGCTGATCTCTGTTCTCTTCTCCTTTTTTACCTTAAGTTTACCACCGAATCTTCTGTTTTTCTCCCTGACATTCTTTCTGGCATTATTTCCTTTATCCCAGAAAGAGTGATTTCTTTCCGTTCCTTGAAAAGCATCCGTGTCAAGTTCCTATCCTAATCACATTTCTTTCCATTTACTAGACCAAATCTAAACTATTTACAGGAAAATATAATTAAGTTGTTAAAGATACATTCATAAGAGTATTTTCAGAAGTATGCCCATTAATACTAGTTTAGAATAGTCAAATAGTTTTAATAACTGCATAAAAACTGTATTCTCACCATGAGCTGCATGAAAAAATGTGTTCTGGATTTAGGTTTTTTGACTGCAGCAGAAATATTATAAATGTTTTCAATAAAAACCTCAATTAGACTGATACTCACATGTGTGGTTATATTTAAAAACAATGACATTTATACTGCCTGTGCTAGTAGACAGTCATTCCTAATTCCTGATGGAATCAGTAGATAATCATAAACAGTCAGGCCTTGACATTATTAAATGATACATGAGACAGTTATGCTAACTTAGCCTTTGACTTATTCATCATTTTCTACCCCAAAGTCTCTTTTGAAGTAAAATTGCCATTCTATTACTTTAAAAATGTGATTTTGCACATATTTTCTCATTAAAAAACATTAACTTTTCAGAGAAATCACTGGAAAATTTAATCTGTATTTGATTCCAAAATGCAAAGATAAATAAAACATGAATGTATGTTTTATGTCAATTAATCTTACAAATCACCCTTCAGAAAGATTTGAGACCAATACAATATCCATTTGTTTTGTTCACAATATGTGAAGAAAGTCGATGTTTGTGTACTATGAAACTATACTTTTTTTTTTTTTTCCAGCACATGAAAGCAGTTGTGAATTTTTTAAAAAAATACTGATTCTGGTTATTATTTCAAAAGAAATAGTGAAAAATAAAAGTGTTGAGTGTTGCAGGCTCTTCTCTACGAACTGTGTGATGCTGGAGGACTGGCTATGTTTTGCTTTCCGCAGGTGATTAAAGCAGTCGAGGAAGGCTACAGGCTGCCAAGCCCCATGGATTGTCCTGCTGCTCTCTATCAATTAATGCTGGATTGCTGGCAGAAGGACCGCAATAGCAGGCCCAAGTTTGAGGAAATAGTCAACATGCTGGACAAGCTGATACGCAACCCGAGCAGTCTGAAGACGTTGGTGAATGCTTCGAGCAGGTGCGAGGCCAGATCTGAGCGCTTTTCCTGAGTGTTTCTAATTCATATGGATGCCACAGATATCTATCTCCCCAGTTAAATGATTCTCATACACAAGTTAATCTATGAGTCTATATGACACAACTACATCTGTCATTTTTGTATAACATTGAGTCTTATAATTTAGTAAATATAAGTGACTATACTAAAAATGCCAGATTCAGAAACATGCATGACCACTATCAGGGACAGTCACAAACGTCTGAAGGATACACAGTATTTTCATGGAAACACGTTGATAGAGAAAACAAGATTATAATATTACATGGGAAGTCCAAGTGAGCACTGATATATTTTAATGCAGAATATTTAATAATGCTTATACTTTGATTTCTTTAAAACACTTTAGTATTCAAATGTAAATATCAATACCTCCTAGCTGTTCATATTTTATGGATATAGACAACTAGAAGGATCCTTTTGCTCTTACCAAGTTTTACACAGATAATTGATTAATCGTTTAGTGTGCAGTTTGAACAGAATTTAAAGCTGACAAATGAGTGATATTGTGGAGAGAATTTGTGTGTGCAAGTGACTGTATTTTCTACATTTCCTGAATAGCAACATGAAACCTTTCAAATAATGTTGCATGCTTATAAAGTATGCTTTTCTCCTTATCTGAGAAATTACTAAATTATCTTTCTAATATGAATCAATTTAATTTCAAATTAAACATTCACTAGGTTGTTATTTTCAGTGCATATGAAGCAACTGTCTATTTTACAAGAAATATTATTATGCTTGTAACAGAATTAGCTGCCAGTTAGCTTGAGCTAAATAGAAACAATTTGTTTACAAAGTTACAAAAGTCCTATGATTTTGGCACAACATTTATTTACTAGACAAAAAGTCATTTTAAATACAAATGAGAAGTGAATCTTCCAATTTGTTCAAGCATCATTAACTTTCTGTGATAGCAACTGGAAAATGCATCCTTTGAGCAATTATTCCTTATGTTGCTCCCTAAATATCTATTTTCAAATTGTTTATTGAAATGTCAGAACTTACGCCTTCCTCTCATCTACTGGTTTGAATTATGCTACTTTGTCAAAAAGGGTATAAGGGAAGGAAATAATAAAAAAGAATACTTAATGCTCTAAATTTTATTAATTTGCTTCACCACCCTTATTGTAAGTTGGCAGCAGTATTTTTCTTTAAAAATATGTTTTCTTATCGCTTATAGAATTTGTCTTCTAGATTTTGTTTAAATAGACTTAGCTTTCAAACCATACAACTCACATCCCCTTCTTTATTAAAGTGCAAATCCTAATTCTGTTGACTTTTTTTTTTCTTGGTACTGGGAATCGAACTCTGGACCTTGCACTTGCCTGGAAGGTGCTTGTGCCACTGAGCTATATCCCTGGCCCACAAAACCTAACCCTAGCAGATGTGAGCTCCTAATTCATTTTCTCCCCTTCCATCCCCTCTATGTCACAAGATTTGGTGATTTTGGTAACCATGTATAAGCATTTGAATATCTGTCATTATTCTGAAATTTTGTCCTTCATTGATTTTGTTCTTTTAGTCTATGTTGGACTATCCTTCTCATGGTTCTATTCTAAACCTGGCTATTATCAAAAATTGTGACTCTTTTATAATTTCTACTTCAAAATCCTACTCTTCAACTTGTTCCTCCTGTAATTCTATCCCTTACAATTTTTGGACCCTGTTCTTTAGTGACAACAGATTGCTACATTCATGCATTCATTCATTCAACAAAAATTCACTTTTACCTTCTGTGTCATTCTGAGGGCTAAGAGCCGAGCATAAGGCATGAAAACAGTCCTTAGCATCTGCCTGTGTGTAGCCAATACACTGTTGGAAGAGAGACTGCACAAAATAAAAACCTGATAGGTGTGAGATCGTGGCTTTGACCCCTGGTCCCCCCCCCCCCAAAAAAAAAAGTCCTACTGAGAACTCGTGTTTGGTTAGAGGTGGAGAACAAGAGTAGGGTTGAAGTAGATGATCAAAACTAAGATGTATCATGTACGGATACAAATTCCCTGTAATGAATGTATGCATTTCTAGATTGTACCAATAAGTTTAATTTAAAAACAGAAAAGAAGATGATTTAGAATGTAGAGTGCTTAGGATGGGGAGTCCTACAGGTGTCTTGGAATAAAGCTATGAAAAAGAGACAGACATTGATCCATATGCAGTATATTTTGAGTAGAATGGGCAGGCTGCATGATGGCTGATGGCGAGGAGCAGGAGGAGGACAAGGAAAGAGTGAACTTGGGTGTCCCCTGTCCTGTCACCGGAGCACTCCCACTGTAGGAGGCTTGGGGAAGATGCGCTGTGTTGTGTGGGATATGTTTGGGTGACAGTCCTATGAGAAATAGGAAGGATCACATGAGTGGCTACACATGCAGTCTAGTCTGCAGATAAAAAATGAGAAGAATAGTAGCTACTTGAAACAATAAAAATGGATAAAAAGATCCAGAGTAGAATGGTTTTAGTTTGAAAGAGAAGATATAATACATGGCCAAGACCTGACTTCCCGTAAATTTTCAAATCAGCAAAAGGAGTAAAAGGCAATGGAGATAATGGAGAACCCAAAAGCTACAATACCACGGAGACCAAAACTAGAGGCGATAGCAACTCAACTCAACAAGTGGCAAGATGGAATAGGGTTTCAAGAGAGGTAGAAATTACATGTTTTTGAGAGATCAGTCATCTTGTAGATTGAAAAATGTCCACAGGTTTTGACAAAATAGATGTCACTGCTAACATCAGTCAGAACAAATTTTATAAAATTAATTTTGTATAAACTCAAGTTGCTTGAAGTGTAAATGGAAATGTGAGAAAGTCTAGAGAACATAAGTGCAAAGGAAGATAATTACAGTGTGTTATAGAGTGGGAATATATTTAATAGATCTCCTATTCACACAAATTAATTTTGATCTTCAGACACATAAATTTTTTGCCATTTTTTCCTGATCATTTCCTTAGGATACAATTCTAAAAACCATCATCATCTCCTTATTTATTATTATTGTTCAATTCAGTGTTTGCATGTACTTGGTATCACAGTTTGTTTTCTAGATCCTAATTCTTGCTTCACGTGAATTACTCACCATCCATATATGAAAGCAGAAAATAAAACATTAAGTTGCTTCTAGAGTTTCTGAAAAATGAACTTAAGGCTGGGTACCTCTGATAACTTCTAAAAATAATTGGCTTTGCAAGAAATCACTCTGTACATGTATATTTGGTAGCATTTTCTGCAACTTTGTGAAGGAAAATAGTAGTTGAAAGTAAATACACATGAATATCTATATGAAAGTTTAGCATATGCCAATTTTATAGCAGCTTTATGTGAACAGCAAATTTGAGCAAAAGTTAGATCACCCATGTGCCTCTTGCCTCTACATAAGCAGAGCTTTCCCTCTTCCCACCAGCAGCGTCCACCACCAGAGTGGCACACGGATGAATCTGTGTAGACACAGCCCTGTAACTCAGGGTCCACGGTTTACAATAGGCTTCACTTGCCATTGTGTATTCCGTGGGCTTAGCCAAATGTATAACGACGTATCCACTATTACTATGTCAAACATTATCACTCTATTTCTTTTAAATTCCCGAGTTTATGTATTTATGCTACATGGAATTTAAACTATTGTTTTATTTCATAGAAATTTACTGATTAGCCTGTTATAAGTCTTTCTTCATGATGCAGTAAAAACACTTGGTATGCCGATTTCATGCTCTCCCATATTTTGAATTATTTGTTTCAATGTTAGCATTTATATACTTTCATTTATAAATAGTCACCCAGATCCACTAAATGTGGGTTACCATTGCCGTAAATTTTATTAGAAAAGCTTTGTAATGTTCATGTCTTGTGTGTTCTTGTGTATTTTAGAGTTTCAAGTTTATTGGCAGAGCATGGATCCCTGGGGTCTGGGGCCTACAGATCAGTGGGAGAATGGCTAGAAGCCATCAAGATGGGCCGCTATACAGAGATTTTCATGGAAAATGGATACAGTTCAATGGACGCTGTGGCTCAGGTGACCTTGGAGTGAGTAATTTTTCTGATAATCTTTGCATAATTGCCAGGGCTAAAAAAAAAAAAAAAAAAAATGCTCAGAACTCAATCTGGATGAGATCAAGGGAAATCCATTAATCTTTGTCCCTGTGCGACAGCTTTGAGAGCAGCCTCGTCCTCCTTAGCCTGTATTGTTAACAACTGCATGGTATTGCTTCTTGTGGCCAGTATCTTTGCTTCTTTGCTTCAGACAAATAGCATTTGAGTAATTAGAATGAGAGCTCCTTGCAAAGTACTGGCATTCTGTGTTGTGGAAAAGATGTCTTCTTGACAGACTTTTATACTTGTCCTATGTTGAATGTAAATACAAAACAAAAAACTGTAAGCACAATTGGTGTGGCTCAGCCTCTGTCAAAGCAAAACATATACCTAAGTTTCAGCACGCTATGACGAACACCAAGTCATGAGCTGAAACAAAGCCTATTTGGCAGGAATGTCATTTAATCTCTGAATGGTGCACCATATATTCTTACAATCCAAGAATATATCACCTCCTGCCTCTGATGTATTATTCGGTACAATCTCAGTGGAACCAATTGTGCCCTTTCCTGTGTGCACGTTTAAGATAAAGTTTATGAAACCTAATTAAATAAAAAGTCACTAGAATTAAATATTAAATTATTTAAGGTTGTAAGTTGTTTGTATTTTATTATATATTCTGTATGTGTGATTATCCTAGCCTAATGGCTATTTGTGAAAACTAACTGTCCTTATGGTGGCTTCATCTAGGTGACGTTAATATTAATGTTTTAACCTGTGAATATAACGATAATGTGCTTCATACTACCCAAAAATTCAAAGGTTAAAATATTGTCTTAAAGATTAGAAGATGTTAGATTGTCTAAACCACTAAGCCACAGTCATTCTTCATTACTTCATAACTATGCACACCGGACAGTTCTCCTGCTGTCTGTACTGTCCTGCTGTTCTCTGATTCACTGAATTCACTGCTGATTTCCACAGAAGGTAACAGGGTACCATATTTATCCCAGTGAATGTCACAGTCGCTTTCTCTTCCTTCACACCATGACCTAAAATCACAAGCACTCTGTATTCATTGTCATCCTCACTGTCACTACCGAATCATATCTACCTTATGATATGCTTTGCTCATTATTTATTTGGACAGTTAAAGGAACTCATGCGTGATCTATTTAAAATAGTATACCGAAAACTTTACTGATAATGTCAAGCTATTTTTACATGATTGCTATTTAATTTTTCACTAAAAAATGGTCATTTTAATTTATTAAAGTCATTTGTCATTTTATATTAAAATGATACTGTAGGTATTTCTTCTACCCAATGTCAGATTACTTGTAAATATATAATAAAATAATTTGCATTAAACAATGTCTCTTTTTCATTAAGATAACATACATGCATATCTAGTTAGAGCTACAGTTTTGTTTTTCACTTTAAAGAAGTGTTATAATCATAAGGAATGGGTTTATATTAACTGCCTGTGTTTTACTTTATTTCCTTGGGGCCCAAAATACTATAAATATGTCAAATACTATTGCTCCACTTGTTCTTAATTCCTTTAATCCTTTCTGTTTACCTTCCACTCTGTTCCTGTAACCCCTCCTCCCTCACTGTGGTGTTTCCTTCTCAAATCCTAACTCCTCTTCTGTCTGTTGTGAATGTTTCTTCTCCAGCCTGATGCTTATTGACGTGTTGCCCCTTCAAAGATTCTGTCTTTTAATTCATTTATTCTGATCAATGAGTAAGATGAAGCTGAGTGACTTAGAACAACTTCCTTTTCAGAGGATGTTGGCTTTCTAATACTGACAATTGTTTAACACTCCTGGATCCAGAATGATTACACTGTTCCTTCCTAGGAATTGGGCCTGCAAATATTATCTCCAGGGAAGCAAAATTCTCGGCGAATGCAGCACCATTCAATATAAGTTCTCTGGTTTACTGTGTTTTTGATCACAGTTTTTCTAATTGGTAAGAATGTATTTCTCAAGATATTATGGTAATTCACAAAATGAGAGGTAATCATAATTTGTTTTTTCCAAGAGTTAAAATCATTTGCTTTTTTTTTTTTAATTTTCCACCAAAAGAAAAAATGTGAACCATTGCTAAGAGCTACTGTAATTGGAAAGGACAAAGTATTTTCAGCACAAGGCAAGAACAGTATCTCAAAACATCCTGAAAATGACTTTACATAGTGTTTAGCTAGTATCTAAATATTAATTTCATGAAGCCCATGTATTACTTATTGTATAATTATAAAATACGAAAATCAAAAATATTATTCTCAGAATTATTGTCATGGGCTCATTAAAACCTGAGAATGGAAGAATACATTCATAGCTATTTTAAATGGTTAAAAAAATGTCAGATTCAACTCATACAAAGCAAAATACTCAAGTGCTGTATGTAAAACACCTTTTATTGTAATTTGTGACATCAAATTTGCTATTATAGCAGGTTTAGAAGAAAAGCAAAAAAAAATAAATAATTTGTCATAGCAAAATACTTTGGTTAAAAACTTCATTCACTGAGGTTTTTGTATGGGTTGTTCACCAGTCCATGCTGGTGTGTATGAATGTGGAAAAGTGAAGAATTTCAAAGTTTTAGAGGCAAAGCACGTTAAGTAAAACTGGTTTTCAAATGTAGATATTTTTGTCTGTTGATCTCTATGGCAAAACCTTGCTGTTCTATGTACAGCATTCATATTTCAACAAAATGCTGTGTCATTAATGGTAAAAATTGTACTCTCATGTAAAAGCAATGAGTTTTTGTGAGCTTGACTTGAGGCAAGTTGCAAATTTAATGATCCAATTTCAGTTAAGAAGAGAATCACGGGCTGAGGATTTAGCTCAGCAGCGTAAGTGCCTACCTTGCAAGCAGGCAATTGTGAGTTCGATCCCCTGTACCAATAGAAAGGAAAAAGACAAAAAAGAGAGAGAGAGAGAGAGAGAGAGAGAGAGAGAGAGAGAGAGAGAGAGAGAGAATGACTCCTTTTAAGACATCTTGTCAGACCATTGCTATCAAATTTTGGTTACTGGGAAAATGAATAAAATCCAGTGATTTTAAATACTGTACCAATTGTGTATAAGCTGAAGAAGTTCATGTTATTCTCATTTAATGGTATGGAATCTTAAATTACAATGAATGTTTTCCAAATCTATAGCCAAATTTATAGACTAACCCAACTAGATTTATTGACTTATTTAGTAAACAATTATCCATAATTTAAAATATATTAAAGCACACACAAAAAAACTCTATCTTCTACATAATTAAAATGAAACCTCTAATCTACACTTAGGAGGTCTTATCTACTGAAAACTATTGACAAGCCATGTCTAAATCTCCTTTTGCCCCCTGTACATGTATTTATTGTATCAAGTAGGTTTGAAATGACCATTAGATTCTTTGAAACAGGTATACAAATGCATGATTAAAACTAAAACAAATGAAAAACAAAAACAAAACGCTCCAGTGTTTGTTACTCTCTCTCCTCCCTCTATCCAGGCAATATTGATAGACTAAATTCCAGAAGAAGGGCTAAACCATGTGTGGAGCAGAAGGATGAAGAATGATCCAGGGACTGAATCAGACACAACTAAATGAATTTTTCTGCATAATCAACAACTGGCCTCAATGTCAGCTAGATATCCCATGTTAATCTTTTTGTTTTACCAATTAGGCATCATATTATGCTAAGAAAATGTTTTTTCATTGTTTAATATCATGGACTAGTGTTTGAAAAGATGCTAAAATGTAATCCCAACATGACATTTCATTATATTTTGCAGTTTTTCTAAAAACTGTCAAAAATACAAAATATTTTCATATAACAATATTATTCTCATTATACTTAGCTTTAAAAGCATATGCTTAAGTACAGTTTGTTATTAGAATTGGCCTCAGGTATTGCTTAAGACGATATGTGGTCATGGTGAAATACTACAATATTTATAAGGGTACCTATAAAAGTTTGCATACAAAAGAGTTAAGTGGAAAATTAGTACATTATGCACGATTTCCAAATATTTCTTTAAAATTTGTTGTATAAAGTCAGAGGTTTCATTAGAAAATATTTTTTGCTATTTTCTCACATTATTCCTGCTTTTTATTATGTACATTATATATTAAATGAGAACTATAGGAACAGTGAAAAATGTGAGACAAAACAATAGAAAATGCTTTGATGTATTTATCAATATTGAGATTTAACTTCCACATTTTTCTAACATCATTTCAACTTTCATATATACTATCAGAAAAATATTGAACAGTTTTAAAGAATATATTATGCTATTGAAAAAAATTAAAGCTGGATAAGTCATCTTATTTTTCCCCACATTTTCACAAAAATCACATTTATAAAGGTATATATACTTGCATCTATTATAAGCATGGTGTTTTCTAAACCCCTGTGCATTAATTTGCTAGCTCTGAAAATAATACATAAGTCATAAAATAAAATCACAGCATTCCATTGAAGGCACACAGTATTATATGCATTATCATGTGTAAAATGCAACTCCATACAGTTATAATTCCCTTTCTCCCATAGACAGGGCAGACAGAGACAAAGTGGAAGAGAAAAAAATGGAGAAAACAATAATTTTAGTAGTCTGTCTTTATGTATTGCATGAAACACTGGGCAATACATTGATCTTGAAATGAAATGCTACGTGAAGTACAGTAGAAGACTGAGGCAAATTTAGCTTAAAACCTATTTGTGTGGAATGTTTTTAAGTATTGAAGATCTTACCTCCCCTGTACTCACATATATTAATTAAATATAGTTCTCAAACATACATTCTTTAGCATGACACATTGATAGTGCTGAAAAATGTCATCTTTTATAGTTATCTTTTCAAGAGAAACTACATTTATTGTTAATATAACAAGTTAAGTCCTGATGTAAATCAAATCAAGCTAATGATAGTTTGATAGTTGCCAAACTACTAAGATACTGCATAGAGAACACAAAGGTAATGCACACTCTTCAGATTAAAGTTTTGTTATGCTCTATGAAAAATCCATGCTGTTTGAATTGAAAAACCTATCAATTCTTTTGTTAAGAATAAACTGTAGTTTAAAATAAAAAAAAATAAAACAACCACATGGACATGTGCAAAATAAACCGTAAACTGAGTACCCCAGACGTGAGATGAAGAAGAAAGACAACAAAAGCCAGCAGGTGAAAGTGATCGAAGTCTGTGATAGGCACGTATGAATTAATCTGTGTAACCAATAAACAACAGCACAGCTCATGGGGAAAAAGAATAAAGTGTAGTGATTATTCCCCAAATATTATTCCTAATCATTTCTACAGCAATGTGGAATGGTGCAACTTACATATTTCCATGTGTGCACATAGGTTCACATCTGTACTTCCAAGTTGAAATTCACTATTATTTCCTTGTAAGTTCATAAACCTTCGGGTTAAATGTGTGTTTTAAAATCTCACTTCTCCTCCTAGGTAAATTTTCTAATACAGAACGTTTTCAGGGTAAATTTTTTTTTAAAATTTAAAATTCAAGTTCCCTTTCTCTCACACGATTTAATGCCACATATGCACAATTCTTCATGACTCATGGAATACATAGAAACATGAGAATATTAATCATCCTGTGAAGGAAGCTACCATGAGATACAGAAAGCATTATTATAGCTTCAATCAAAAAAAAAAAAAATACAGGCACAGGGCCCTTCATTAGATGTTTTCTTTGTTTGAATTTTAGGTTTGTGATGTTATATTCATAGAGCTCTCATTTTACAGATATAAATTGTTACATTTAGATGGACTTGCTTTCCTCAAATAATATCTGAAAAAAATAAGAAAGTAAGCGTGTAGCCTCTGGTTTTAGTTCTACCACTGTTAAATCAGCCCAAGTAAATTCTCCATACTTTTGTTCTTAACCCATAAACAGAAATTTCTTATGTGTATAATATGTATGAGTTAAACATTTCCTATCATACCCAAGGAACATGTCCCTTAACTCTCATCGACTGTAGTCATGTTTACTGACAGTCTCATCCAGGGAGAGTTTGGCCCTCTAAACCTCTGGCCGCATGAGGACGTTTTGCCTTCTCACCATGCAGGGTCAGTGCGGTGCAGTGCTCTAGTCCCTAGTGCGTGGCAGCCCGTGGTGCTGTCGAGGACCACAGTGTGCAGTCTCCAGCAGCCCAGGACTAACTAGCAAACCTGAGAAATGCTGATTTAGTTGAAAAAAGACAAGATTAAACTCAGGTCTTTTATCCCTAGTTTAGTCTGTAATTACCTTTTATGTAGTCATTTTCATTATACTAAAATTGATTTTCTTTCAAAGAGACTTTTGCTGATGGATTCTCTTCCATGTCACACCCATTATTATTTTTATATGTACTCTGGTGTCTTGCAAATATAATAATTTCCAAGGTCATTATTCACATTCTAACTATCTTCAGCTGTATTTTGGCTTATTCCCCTGAACTCCCATAAGAAATAAAGACATCAGTAAGAGAAAAGGAAATGCAAAATGGCATTTCAATATGCAAATTTATCACTAATTCAGATGGAGACTATGCATCCTTAATTCTTATTCTCTAATAATCTACAGACTTTACGAGTCATATAGAACTATTCAGTTTTACCTAAAACAGTTCTGATGTCATTGTTTCCAATTCTCTTGAATGCTAAGAAAATCTGAAATTAAAGCACTTAGCACAAAAATGTTCCTTTTTTGTTCAACAAAGTAAAGAAATCTTTCTTGCAAACATCTCTGTCATTTAGAATCTTGAACTGTTTGTGCTCATTTTTTCTATATTTAATGAATATTATTTTCCAAATTATGTGAATTGTTACATTCATGTACACACTCTATGGGAGTAACATCCACAAATATTATAAAATAGCAATTTGAAGCCATGGGCACTTACTGTGTTTTAAATTCCATAATATGTTATGTTTGTTAAGAAATTAAATGTGTAATTTTCTTTTGACTATCACTTGTTTTGTAAAGTGCACCAAAACTATCTTGGAGGACTGTTTGATAGTACATAATCTTCAGAATGCTCAACATGCCAATCGAATCTAGATCTTACTTAAGCAAGAAAGGTCCCATACTTTGGCTCCAAAATAAAAACTAACAAAAATGTTGGTGTAAGAGTAATGCAGAAATTGATTATTCCTTTATAATATTTGTTGTATATAATGATTATATAGAATGAGACATTTAAAGAGTTTGGTTTTCAACTGACTGGCTGTAAATTCTTTTAAGTTATATTTTAAACATTTAGTAAAAAAAAATCTTACAAACATTGTAAATTGATAATTTCAAGATCATTCAATGAACTTGTACCTATTGAGCTCAGTAATTATTGGTATGATGAGCAAATTTATTTGTCTACCACTATTGAAATTATGATGTTCACCGACAGGAACGTATTATGTTGTTCCCTGTTATAAATATTAATTTGATTGTACCTAGATTTTTTTTCAAGGTACGGGTGTCTCCCTTTAAAAGTTGGACCCTGAGTGTCTAAACTGGGACTGTGCTCACTAGATTCTGCCAAAGATTTGCCAGCGTGAAATATTGAAGTGTGCTGCAAATTGAATCAATACAGACATCCAATGTGTGCTTTCTTCATGCAGGGATTTGAGACGTCTTGGAGTGACTCTTGTCGGTCACCAGAAGAAGATCATGAACAGCCTTCAAGAAATGAAGGTGCAGCTGGCAAATGGGATGGTGCCACTGTAATTTCCGCCAGTGTCACAGCTTCAAGGGAATGCTTCTGCACTTTGTAAACAGCCCTGAGTTTTATTTTAATTAAAAAAAATAGGAAAGGGGGACAATGATTTCTAAACCTTAGGAGAGCACTTGCTCAGCCACAGAATTTGCAATCAGTGTTTCACCAAAATCGAATCTTGCTCTTTGTGTCTTCGTTTTTTGTGAAGCAACTATGACCTGCGTAAACAAGAACACGATGGTAGACATTATCTTATGTTACGATAAGAATAAAGTCTTTTCCTCTACTTCTACAAAAGTTTATACATGACGTGTATAAATATACAGCACCTTCAAAGACTGGATTTAAGGTAGCCCTTCTCAAAACTCCCAGGGATCTACTTGAAAGGATAGATTTCATAGCCATATATGGGCTAAGAAAAGCTGCAGTTCACAGAAGTTTACTTCAGTTCTTAAAAGTCTGCATAAGTGTATTGAAGAGCAATATGATTAGATTCTTCCTTATGCATATCTTCTTTTGTAATCTTAAAATACTATTACGTGGTATTAAGTTATAGAAACTAGTTTATAAACATGTTGCTTGATCAAGGATCAGTACAATACAGGGTGTATATTTATTTTTCTGTGTTATAAAGTTTACTCTCAGTTGCTCTTCTGGAATCTACTAAGTAATAAATCTGTATATGCTGTACAGTTTACAATATACCCAGAAACTGACTTGGAGATGTGTGTGTTTGCACATGTGTGCATCATTCTGCTTGCATTTTTCATAGGGTTTTAATTTTAGGAACAGAAAAGGACAGTGTTCCAGAGTGTAATATGAATGAGATAAAGAAAAGAGAAAGAAAGAAAGAAAGAAAAAGAAAGAAAAAATTTAACACAAGCCAATATCTCTCTCGTGTGTCCATCTCTTTCCTCACTACCAGGAAATGTCTGCAAGATTGTGTCCTCTTTGGCTTTTTAAAACACTTTGTAATATCTGTGATAATGCAGTTCCTCGAGCCATTAATCTTGCAACGCTGTAAGAAATTCCACCTTTTTGAATTCTAGAGAATATCTTGTCAAGCAGAGTTGACAGGAAAGGGCACTTTTTCAGTGAGATATAAAAGGATTTAGCTGCTGGCTTCTGTTAATGTTCCTAAATCCAAGCACATAGCACTGAGCTTCACCCTTAGTTGTTAATCCTTTGGAACCATTTCCATGCTGGCCCTTTTCTAGAATTTTGATACTAAGGTAGAAATGGCATGATGAAAGTTAGATAAGTATACAGATAGATATTTCCTTTATAACCTGATAGAAATGGAAAGATGAAAAATACATTTTTTTTCCTTTAGAATCTTCTGTTTCAAGACTTGAAAAATATGATTTGCTGATGGGGCTTTATTAAATTGGTAATTTCATTTTGTGTTCAATAATGTGGTGTTGAATTCATTTGGATAAGCCAATCCAAAGTATTGTTTGATTGGATTTATTAAGGAATGGAAGATATGTCTTCTCTATGTCCTATACTTTACACTGTGAAAACTTAAATTTGTTATAAAACTTACACAGTTTGAGGTTATACACAACCAAGTTCCTGTGTGAGGTGAACAAATGTTTTATATCATTACACTTTGTATAATCATGGAATAGCATGTGATACTCAGGAGCACAGCACTTAAATAAAATACAGCCTACTGGTGATTTTCAGCAGTATATCAGAGCCTGGGATTTGGAAATCCATAGAAAATGTACACGTGTTACAAATGATACTCTTTTTCCCTAAGCACCTGGTTTATAGAAATGTTAGCCCAGGTGTAAGAGTACATTTGGGGGAATAATTTGTTTCTGTTCTGTCCACCTTTATATAAATTCTTGCTAAAGAACAAGACGAAACTACAACTATAACAAAAGAAAATAAAGAGCAAGATCTGAACTCTTTTAAAACTCTATTAGAATTTCTATAAAATACCATGAGTCAACACAAACTTTATCTATTGTTTTAGGGAAATTTCCACAGAAAGGCAAAAGACGTATTTCAATATCATGTTGATAAAAATCACAGGTAAATAGGCATCATCATTATTAAAGATGCATTTGCCCACTTCAATAAACAGAAAATTATTAAAGCACATTCTTATATAAAATAATTGGATATTGTGTTGCAATTTATTAAATTTTGTAAAAAGATTTGAATCAAAGTGATAAAGTAACAGTTGAGAAACTTCAAGCTATGCATAGACTTAATGGTTTAAATGCAAAACTCCCACATTTTAGAGCTGGTTGACTGGCTGCATGAATATAACAAAGTATTTTTAAAATTATATTCTACCTTAATATGTGCAAAGATAACAAAGGAGTCAGGGTGGAGGATATCTTAAGTGATAGAACACATATTTCCTATTTTTCACAAAAGAATATGCTGTATACTGTTTATTTGCCCTTTTGTAATTCTGATATTTACTTGGGAAAATGCAGTAATTCAAAATGGAACTTAAATAGCCATGTGGCGTTCATCTGTCTCTCAGTCTGAGCATTTCTAAAGAACGTCAAAGCTTTCTAAAATACTTGCTCACCACCAGGTATGCCAACAGCTGGGAAGTGTGGATTTCAGATCACAAGAGTGAGAATTGGAAGGAAGCAAGTCTCCCAAAATACAGCTAGACTGTGTAGCACAGGGCAAGTTTTGACAAACCGTCATGAAATTCCTTATCCTATTAGCTCATGTAGTCAGGCGCTGGACCACCAAAACTCAAGCATGAATCTCATCATTTCATCACGTACTACATATTTGTCAAATAACTGATAATTTTTTTGTGATTGTCAGTTGCAGTACTCTTTGGCATGAATAGCAGTGTTGGATCTTGAAAAGCAAGTACAAGCAGGGAATTATTTTCCACATACTGGTAACTGTTGAAGTCACTCAATTACTGTAATCATTCTTTGTGTGTAACTCTGCCATTTGATTTGCTATAATATGTCATGGAAACAGTTGCTCTTTTGGAAATGTATTCACTATATGTAAAAATGCAAGCATTTTGATTTTTACTATTTAGAAAAAATGAATGTGCATGGTCTTTTATTTCTTGTATTTTGTTCACCAAATCAGTGTTCTACAGTTCTAGGTTGACTGTAAAATCTGTATCACGGAATGAAGGTAGAAGCTCAGTACTAGAGTGCTTGCCCAGATTGCACATGGCCTTGGGGTCAGTCCCCAGTACCACAAAACTGTCAATATTCTATCTAAACTTAAGCATTGCTGACATCATTAGTTGAACAATTTACAACATCCTTAGCTCTGTTTGCAGAAGAATTTTAACCAGTGTGCGATGGTGATGATGGTATTCCACATCCCAAGGATCAAATGGAATTGTATCAGTTGAGCACTTATATTTGTATGTCTGCTACTTAATTTTTATGTGAAAGTAAAAGGTTTTCCACGCCATTCTTTCTCCCATTTGAAGTGGGTTTTCAGAGCACAAGAACAGATAATTTACCTTTGAAAGTTTTTTTCTTCACTCTAATGTTGCATTGGATGGCAAACACTCTTTGCGTAAGGTATTAAAAATTTACTAAATGTAGAATAATGTGTAGTAGGATAATATCTTTTCTCCATTTCATTCTTTTTAAATATAAGAAGCAAGCTAAATGTGATGATAAATTGTCTTTGTTACGTCCTGCCAGATGTTTAATATTAAAGTAAATTCAAAAGTAGGTACAATATAATGATGATGATGATGATGATGAATAAATAGAATTAAAATTCTACCTTTACTTGAAATTTAATAACTAGAATAAGTCATCATTTTTCAACGCTAGCACAGCTGGTTACATTGAATATTTTTCTCTATTATCATGCTAATTATATAGTAATGTGTCAAAAAATACGTAGATCAAAACTTTCTTTTCATTTCTTGCTCATTTATGAAAAAATCTTTTCATATATAAATGGTTCAATGTTTTTGTTTAGAATGACCACATAATTATTGCTTAGAACATACCAATTAACTTTTTTTAAAAAATTGTTTATAATAATCAGAATCTAATGTGGTTCTTTTTTCTTCTAAATGTTAATGGGAAAAATCAAAGGTAGCAAAAATATGTAATGCTTATTCAAGAAAGTGGGCTATATTGATGGAACTTTGAGTGGTCAACATCTTTGCAAATCTTTCGACTGCTGTAATTTTACAGTTAGTTACTTATAAGTATGTAAATTACATTTCCTATAGTCCGAGAATAAACTTAGACTCAGTTATTTGTTCATATGTTTATCAGAGTCTCTTGGTTCCCGCAGTTCAGGAGCAGCTGTGTGGTTATTTTGCTCTTTGATAGGCACTCTGATCATAGTCCCTGTCTCAGAGTTAATTTGAGGAAGGATTAACATTTCTGTATTTTTTCCCATTTGAAGTTCTGTGCGGTTTTGGTTTGTATACATGTTTTTGTAGTGTAAAATACGAAATTTTCTATTTTTTCAGAAAATAAAAAAAACCTTTGAACAGTCAAATCCAATTGTCATGCTTGCTCCTCCCCCAAGACTTTACAAACCTACAGGCTTTGTGTGATTACCACTTAGTTTCAATAAAAATGCTTGAATTTCTTTTGCTAGATGTTTCAAAGGTGATTGGCATCTACTTTCCACAGATGGCTGTATTCAGGAATCTTTGCTTTTAAGTAATATTTGCAAATGGGATTGATAAAGTAGAAGAGGTGAGCGTTTCTGCAGCAAACCTAACTAGAAGCTTGTTTGTAACAGTGTTATAGAGCAACTCTTGGGGGAAAAATTAAAACTTTAGCCATCTGTAAAGCACACTTTTGCTGTCAGCAGCAGTGTAGAGCTTTCTGTCACGGTGCGTCTGTGTCTTACACTGAAGGCATAGTTGGATGACTTGCACCACTGCAGGAAAATGTTACAAAGCACAAACCCTCTCCCTTTTTACGTATCACATCATGTCTGTCTCTTTTCAGAAAAAGTATTGAAGCAACCTGCTATGTCACAAGAAATTTGTGTTTATAATTTTGGGGCTTGCACCATTGAAAGTCATATTATGACATTCTTTATGCATAAAAATAACTAAAATAATATTTGATATTTTACTGGATATTATCATTTGAAGAGCTCAGAGCTTTTTGTTATAGACTATTCTTGCGCTTGCACTGCCACTGAAGTGAAGAGTCCATGATAAAGATTTTTTGTTAATCCTGATAAACTATTAACTTGGTAGAACACATAGATAGTAAATAAAATGTTTTCATTTGATGAAAATGCATCACTGTCACTAAATAATCTTTCTTTTGAGATACTTTTCATCATCTGTGTTTTATGGTGGTGAAACTAGGGCTCAAAGCTATTAAGAAATTGCCTACGGGTTGACTCTTCTTGAAAAGCAAGGTGAAATTCACCTTTATTTGAGAACAAACCATGAACTTTACAACACATTACTTAGGCTCCATATTTTTGACCATGCTATTGAGGTAAAAGAATCATTTATGCCAACCTTCTACCTTAAATGACACAAAATAAGAGGGTCACTGAGAATAAGTAAATTGCACACTTCCACCTTGCAAAGTGTAAATCTTGGTTGGGGTGGGAATTAGTGTCTAACTGATCACAGTTCTAACATTTCATGTTTGAGTCAAAAGTCAAACTTTGACAATTAAAATCAATTTTTCTGATCTGTCACCCTGCTGTGATCTAATTCAGGAATTTTTTCCAATATGGGTTATAATTTTTGCAACTATGGCAAAACTATTACATTGTTTTACGATTTCCTGAAAAGTCAGGAATTGGCAGTAAATATTTATTATTGACTTCTAGTTGTATCTGAAATTAGTGAACTTTGAAATGTGTATGCATTTCACTATTGAGTTGTTACCAAGACAAAGTAACATAAAAGTGAATATATATATAAAATTCACAGTAGTCACTCAAATAAGTGAAAGTTGTATGTAACATGGTACATGTAATTTTGCATTAATATAATGGATTAAATATTAAACAAAATTAAGCTGGCAAAAAATGCTGAAATGCACATGTTTTTCACAGCCAGTTATTTGGTTTTAAATTATCACTATACTTTTTATAGTAGTCTGAAAGTATTTTAAAAGTTGCAAATATTATACCCAAGTTAAAGTTTATATGTGGCTCTCAGAGTCTGGAGTAGGGTGAGTAGTAAAGAATCTAATGAATTTGTGTAATGCTAGGTTTCTAAAAAACAAAGCAAAACAAACAAAAATCTATCATTATGATGATAAAATTCAACACCAAAATACAAGAGAAAATGTCTTTGTAAAATAAGTGATGAAAATTCTTACTATTTTTACATATGGGACAAGTTACTTTTTGGAAATAAAATGCTTTTGTCCTGAATAACTATGATAATCTACTAATTCAAAGTGACTTTTTCAAGTACATCAAGTTTAGTTCATCCCTAACCCTTTACTCCAATGCCTGAGGAGAAATTTGGCTGTTATCCTAAATATCTTGGTTTCTTGTACTCCTACTTTAATAAGAATTATTGAACATTCTAACTTACTTCATACTTGAATTTGTGAAATAAATCATATTTTAGGTCTTTGCTTAAATTTGCCTTTTTATGCCTCATATTTGATTGATGGCTTACAGAATTCTAAGTTAAATATTTTCTTCCACAACTTTTGAGGTTATTGCTTAATTTTTTGATCTCCATTGACCTTTGACATTCTCATTTGTCTTTCTGTACCAGTAATCTCCTTTGTAGATACTTTTAGCCCTCCTCAGCATGTTCGCTCACTTGCAAACATACTGTGTTTTTCTGCTATTTATGTTGGTGAATTTTCAATCTAATCTCAGGGAAATTTTCTTCTATAATTTTGTTATTTGCTCCTTCTATTACTCTGTAATTTCCATCTAGAACATCTAATATTTAGGTGTTTATGCTTGTAAATACATCATCCATGTCTATCTCTGAACTTTTCCTTTAACCTTAACCTCTAAAATTTGGAGTTTAGTTAAATAAAGGTCAGGCATCCTCTAATTTGAGATAGTATCAAATTACATTCTTAAAGAGGCACATAGTTTACTAGAAGAGCAAACAATATCTACTTCTTGCTATATTTGTAAACTATGTATGATTACTTCCTACTTGGCCTTTATATCTTGCATAGATCATAAAGTTTTACTTTGTCATCTTTCATCACCTTCCTTTATAAAAGGGGAAAAAAGAAAATACCTTGTGAAATGAAGAGGAAAATCCTCCTGTATCCACATTCTCTTTCTTCGAGAAAAAGAAGTCTAACAAATAATAAATGTCTATAGGTAACACAAAAGACCCTAATCCAGTAACTGTAATATGGTCTATGAGTGAGCTTTGTTAATCTTTATACAGTCACCATTGGTCCCTGCACAGCAAAGCTGAACAAACCTCTGATATTTGACCAGTTTTTGTCCGGATAATTCGAGGACTATTTTTTTTTTTTTTTTTAATGGTAAGTAGTTGTAAGTAATTTTCTTTTCATCTAACTTTTTAAATTGAGAAACATCACAGAAGAGTATGAGACTTCCAAAATGTGAACCCACAAGATGTACAGGGAAAATTATACTTAGTTTCTTCTTCCATAAACCCCATTAACCCTGTCTCAGCCTTAAGAACACACTAAGTGAAAAGCCCACTTCTAATGAAAATATACCTACACTGTTACTTCTTGCCACTGTTTTAAAACTAATTGACACCCATAAAAACTACCAAAATCAGTATTTTTAGGTGTAACTGTAAGACCAGTAACAGTGGAATTTATAAATATGGTCACAAAAAATTAATACTTTAAGATTGGGTCTTGAATTATTATTGTATTTAAAACAAGTTGTGATAAGGAAAAACTACAGTGAATGCATACATTTTAAAAAATATGTACTACAGTAAAGGACGTCCTGCTTTGGTCTTCCTGAAAATACTCTCCTCGCTTTGAACACACCACATTTTTCTTGCCACTTTCTGAAGGCGTTCTGCTGGTCCTCCTTCGGTAATGACTAACTGCGCTATCCTGTCTGCCTCGATGTTCTAAGCCAGTTCAAAATAGTATATTTAACTGTTGCAGTGTTTTGGCCTTGTGTAGAACCAGACGTTGCACAGTGTCAGATCCGATGGTAAAATGAGTGAGGACGCACCAAAATGTTTCTGTGAGCCTGCCTTCCCACTGATGATTCCGGACATCATACCTAGTGAGGCATGAAACAGGATTTCCAGGACTTTTTCAGAAAATAAAAATGATGATGAGCTAAGTTTGTTGTGTTAAAAGTATTGAGTGGTCATTAATGGGCATTAATGGCAATGGGCATTAATGACAATGTGTCTTTTACAGTATTTTTTTTTTTTTAGTTTAAATATGCATCATATGTTTGACGATTCCTTGTAAGTCAAGACTAAAGTATGAGGATCCTTTATATTTTGGAGCCAGGTAGCATTCTGATTACCGTGACGTGCATGACTCTTCTTCTTAGTTTTAGAAAGCCCATAACCTCGGCGTCACACATGGTGAGCTTGTCAAGAACGCTTATGTCCTGACTTACAGTGATGCTTCCCGCCACTTGCTCTGCTCTGTTCTCTTTTGCCTTGTTTCATTTTTAGTGATGGGGTTGAACCCGCGGCAGCTTTGCCACTGATGTACATCCCTTCCCCTTTTAGTATTCTGTTTTAGTTTCCGACAGGGCCTTACTCAACTGCCAAGACTGGCCTCCACTTTCTTCCCTACTGCCTCATCTTCCTCTATAGTTTAATTTGTTTTGCAGTGCAAGTGATAAGAATTTTTAGCAAGAAGGGCTGATGAGCCAGTGGAGTCAAATTTAATATAAAAATGAATCCAGCAAAAATATCAAGGAAGATTATTCTTTATAAATTAAAAAGACTCTGGGCCGCCACCTGAAAACTGATTATCTTTATGTGTTCTCTGTTTCTTTCCATGAATGGGAGCTTAAAAGAACTTTGTAATACTCCCTTACATATCAGTTATTTTCTGATTTGATTCTGAGAGATTCTGTAGATTAAACACAAGAATTATTGTCATTTTGCAGTTCATAGAACTAAAACACAATGGTATTTTAAAACACAATTGAAAGCACAGCTTACTATTTAAAAATACTTCATAGTTTATAATGTCTTCCATTAACTTAGTGCCTGACGCATATATTGCTAAAAGTAAACAACAGTAGCAAAAATATTTATGAAATATCTGTGCCCTTCCAATCCTCTACTGGGATTCACTGCCATATCTTTGCACTGACCCCTCACATTATCATAATGGAGATGCTAATTCTGTTTTCTTTTTAACAAATATAGAAATAGAGACTCAGAAAGAGTAACGTTCCTCAGATCACATGGCTCGTACTTAATTCAATCCGCCTTTCAAAGTTAACCTTGTGGCCTCTGAGTACCTGATGATGCCTGATGATTCCCGCCTTGGAAACTGTTCATGCTCCTGTTCCTGCTCTTCATGTCTGCATCTGTCAGGCTCTTGGATCAGAAGCCAGTT